ATTCTAAACAAATGCCGCGACACAGAGCTGCAGAACTAAGTTACTGAGCGGCATTTTAAACAAACGCAGAGCTGCAGAGCTAAGTTACAGAGCGGCATTTTAAACAAACGCAGAGCTGCAGAGCTCATTTACAGAGCAGTATTGTAAACAAATGCAGCGCTACAGAGCTAAGTTACAGAGCGGCATTCTAAACAATTGCAGCGCTGCAGAGCTAAGTTACAGAGCGGCATTTTAAACAAACGCAGAGCTGCAGAGCTAAGTTACAGAGCGGCATTCAAAACAATTGCAGAGCTGCAGAGCTAAGTTACAGAGCGGCATTCTAAACAAATGCAGAGCTAAGTTACAGAGCGGCATTTTAAACAAACGCAGAGCTGCAGAGCTAAGTTACAGAGCGGCATTCTAAACAAATGCAACGCTACAGAGCTAAGTTACAGAGCAGCATTCTAAACAAATGCAGCGCTACAGAGCTAAGTTACAGAGCAGCATTCTAAACAAATGCAGCGCTACAGAGCTAAGTTACAGAGCGGCATTCTAAACAAATGCAGCGCTGCAGAGCTAAGTTACAGAGCAGCATTCTAAACAAATGCAGCGCTGCAGAGCTAAGTTACAGAGCAGCATTCTAAACAAATGCAGCGCTGTAGAGCTAAGTTACAGAGCAGCATTCTAAACAAATACAGAGNAAACTTCGAAATTTCGGCATAGATTCCGTACCGTAGTTATGCATTTGTTTTCTCCTACATGCAAAATAAATAGGACAACCGATGCACGCCACACATACGCGAATACTGGTTCATACACAATAAGAGATTGATTCAGATTGAAAATAACATTGAAATTGAGAAGTGTTAGTGTTATTGAACTTCAGAAGTAGGGTATTGTTCTATACCTGTCGATTTGGTATATTATGGATGCTTGACAAAGAAATTAGCTATGCAATACTTCAATAGCAGTTCTAAAATCATAGGTCGCCTTGCACGCAAGGCGGCGACAAATTGAGAACACAATCGTTAAAGCTTGTGCCATGTCACATATCAACATCATTACATGCATTATGTACACACGTAACATTTCAGCGTGCCTAAATCAATTAAAACATAGAAAATCGATACTAAACAAGCACGTTCATGGTTACAGGAAGTTATACGAAGAAGCCCTAATAAGCAGACACATACTCGGACCTTAAAATAGGTCCAATTACATCTTGTTCGCTCTCTTTAACAAACTAGGGACATGAATGCACAGACAAGTATTAGAATCAAGGGGCTATAGTTAACAAGATCATTTGGTGGTCGTTTTTCTGTTAACGTCGCTCAAAACTTTCTCTTTAAGCATATCCTTATATTTGTCGATGGTGCCTGTCCACTTCGTCACTTTCTCGTCCTCACAAATCCAAATTTCTTCAGCAACCTGCAAAACAAAGAGAAGTATTAAAAGTACGACATCAGATTTCTTCCCTCTCATGTCGTCATATAAGACTTCCATATCCCTGTCTCTTATACACATCTAGATGTGTATAAGAGACAGGTTCCAAAGGCCGGATACCTTGTGAATCAAGTCACGAAAAGTTCAAGAATCGGCAACAGGCCATGGTCCTATTTATTCAATGCCGACACTTCTATTCTATTCTATTCTAAGTGGCATGATAAAACGCAGAAGTGGCATGAGGCGGGCAAGTGGCATGAGAAGACACAGAAGTGGCATGAACAAAGCAGCTTGCTCACGGTCGTTTATATCGACGTCCGCAAAGCTGCAACGCATCTTACAGCTGCGGTATCGGAAACCTTTAGAGCTTGCGATCCCTCGGCAATAGTGGCACGCAGGGCAATAGTGGTACAAGGGGCAATAGTGGCACGTGGGGCAATAGTGATATGAGAGACTATGCTGACAGGCGAGGCTACAGTGGCACTATATCGGCATCTAACAGTCACTGCACCGAAATAACAACGCCGGCATTCAGCAGTCACTACGTCACAACACCGCCGGCATTTAGCAGTCACCACGCCATAACACCGCCGGCATTCAGCAGTCACCACACGAACTTGTGCATCGTCGATACACCGACGCTCCATGCTGTTGGGTGAACAGTTGGGGGGCATGGCTACACGCAATTCGTCATTCATTTCATTTCATCCACTTCATCCTCTTAATCCGCTTCATTCATTTCGTCAACTTCATTCACTCCATCCACTTTACCCGATTCATTTACTTCATCCACTTCATCCTCTTCATCCGCTTTATCCACTTCATTCATTTCGTCCACTTCATTTACTTCATTCACTCCATCCACTTTATCCGCTTCATTTACTTCATCCACTTCATCCGCTTTATTCCCTTCATCCACTTCATTTACTTCATCCGCTTCATTAACTCCATCCATTCCATCCACTTTATTCACTTCATATACTTCATCCGCTTCATCCAATTCATCCACTTTATCCACTTCATTCACTCCATCCACTTTATCCACTCCATTCACTCCATCCGCTTCATTACCTTCGTCCACTTCATTCGTTTCATTCATTCTTTAAATAAAATAAAAAATTAATTGGACTGGGAATTCATTATTGCGGGCGCAATTTTCCATGTTTGCACGTTCCACGGTTCAGATCGTAATACAGAGTGGAACAAAAGTCAATGAACCATTTCAATTTTAAATAACTTCTTTATTTTAACAGTTATATGCATGAAATTTTAGTGTCATAAATTCAAGGCGATGGAAAATGATTTTCTATGACAAATTTAATTTTATTCTTATCACATTAACTTTTTAACTAACAAGAAACTTTATCGTTAAGTACATATGATAAATAACATCCTGCATATGCCTTACATTTTCTGCTTCACAAATTGCAGCTCTTTCGATTACCTCTGCCATAACCCTTTCCAAAGTTTCTGGGCTTATTTCTCTAGTGATGTTTTCTTAAAGCTCCATAAAAGATTGCGGCTTGTTGGCATTGAAATGCCTTCGATATGCTCTTTGGGTTTGAATTATTGAGTCTTGATTCTGATAGTAAAATTTTACAATTTGTGTGCGTTAAACGGGACTGAATTTCTCCATTAATAATTTCCATGATCTGAAAAAATTAAGAAAATAAAAAATATTAGAAAATGAAAGACATATTAAAAATTGAAAAGGGTCAGTTACTTTTGGCCTACCCTGGATATATCTGCCTTGTATCGCTGGTGCTTTGATTCCCTGTATTTTGATTAAGGCGTTTTTATAACTTTGTCCCAAATACTACATGCTGCATTTTGGTATAAGTTTATTAGGCATCTTCCGTTCATGTTTCGACCAGCGTTTTAATCATTACAAAATGTGGTGGCATGAAGTTTGATATGAGGAGATTAAAGTTGTAACTTTGCAAGAGGTGGAGTTATTAGTATAAACTTGACGCTTATAAGTTCAGGAATAGCTTTATCTTATTATAGTTTGTTTTGAATTAGTGAATCTCATATCACAATCAGCGTGAAAATCTTCATAGCCCAATGCAAGAAAACGTCCTTCATAAAATTGATATATTAAACAGAAAAAAATTAAAGATCCGAAATGATGAAGTGTATTCTTCATCGAAAGTAATTGAACATTTCTATCGTAAATTGTATGAGTAATATCAAAAAATTGGGTAAGGAAAACAAGAATTGCAGGAGACAAGAGGGCGCAAATAATATATATAATAATAATGATAATATTAATAAGAATGATAATTATAACAAATATAATAATAATAATAATAACAATAATAATAATTATAATAGAAATAATAATAATAATGTCACGCACGCTGGCTCCCTCTGGTCGATGTTGTGCTGACCACTCCCCAACCTTACGACGAGTATTATTTTGATCACCTTATTTAAAGTTGCATTCTCGCGTATTTATTCGAACGTCTGGCAGGAAATTATATAGTTATGATTCTAGCTCGTACTCATGGCTACGAGAAAGGTCTGTAGCAGACAGAGATAAAAAATAAATTAATATACAAATACATCCATGATATTTATGTTCGCGTTCTGATTACACGCATGAAAAGTGCATGGCATCAGGCCTCCCATTAATAACGATTCTAAAAAAAAAATTTTCTGCCATTAAAAATTGCCGAATAATATGTTTACGATCGACTGCTGAAAGCCTTTCAGATTTTATTTAAAAAATCAACGGTTGAGTTGCCGTGCTCGGCTAAATTTCGGGCTGCACGCAAGGCAAGAGGAAACAAATAGCAAACAATTGCGCAAAAAGTAACTACTTTTCCCCGATTAGCTTTTGGGCCGCTATGAAAAACCTAAAAATCTGACGGTAAGTCGGCGAGGCCGAGAGTTGCCTATATAAGCTGCCGATATTGGGGCGCTGTAATCCTGCATGCTGCGGAGCCGGTGCTGTGGCAACTGCACCTGCTGCTGCACCTGTTATTGCACCTGCAACTGTATCTGCATCTGCACCACTTGCAACTGTATCTGTAACTGTCTGCATCTGCACCTTCACTTGCATCAGCATTTACCGCTCTATATACCGGTATCTACTGGTACCGCTTGCATCAGTATTTACCGGTAAATACCGCATCAGTAGTTACCGTTCTTGTAGCTGCACCTGCATCTGCACTTGCGATTGCACATTTGTATATACTGGCAACAGTATTTGTGACTGTACTCTCAATTGTACCTACAACTGTTTTTCTTGATGTATTTGCAGTTGTTTGGCCGATGAACCTGCATGTGCAGCTACACTTGCAACAGTATTTGCAATTGCATTCGCCAGTGCACTTACAACACTTTTTGCAAGCCTTTTGCTAATGATCCAGCAATTGCAGACGAATCAGCACCTGCAGCTATAATTGAAAATTATTTTTGCAAGTGCCCTCAAATCTCATGTAGTCTGAAGTGGGGAGTTTCTGGGAGCAGCCATACTCTTCTGTACACATACAGGAAGAAAAGAGATGCATGCTATATAGCGATGCAGGGAATATAGCATGAAGCTCGTATACTTTCATTCTCTGAATAAGATTATGGATCTAAGTTTGTCAGTGACGTGTGTAGCTCATCTATGATAATTTTTGTACGTTTGCAATGTCGTCACAAAACATTATTGTCATTGAATGTTTCCCCTAGCGCTGACCATGCATAGTACAGACAACTTCTTGTATTTAAAATGCAAAAAAATGAATTTTCCAATCGGAGCAAAAACGGCATTTATCCGCTAAATTTTGTAGGACTCCTCATAAAGTGATGATGACAAATAACGATAATAATGATAAAGTTTAATCAATAATACCTCATGTTCCAGGATTCATGCCAAAATCCCGCTGATCTATCAGAAGGAAGAGGATAATGGCTAAATGACAAGGATCCGAACAGTTTTTTTTCAAGTAATTAGCCCGTGTTGAGAGAGAGGAGTGCTTAATTACATCTATTATAGTTATATGAGATTAAAATACATGGAATATTATTACCAAATCAAATTTTTATATTAGTCGTTAAGGTGTGTCTGAAATAATATAGTGCCGCAAAATACAAGAAAGAATCAAGGTTTTCTTGACAATGCTGCAATCGAGAAGAAGAACTTATCTATGAAAGTCTTCTCAAACTGAAACTTAATTAAAAGGCCTTCAAAATCTATATAAAATTCCGAAAACACAATTTGATTTCAACAACTGCAATACTTCTAAAATTTTTGTTTTCTTTGAAGCGAATATAAGGGTTTTCAAAAGATCAAAATTAGAGAGCTCTTTGGGTTTCAATAGAATGCTTTCATAAAAGAATGATGTGCATATGAATTGAGGAGTCCTGACTTGATATGATACCTAATTGGAGTAAAAATATTTAGAAAGCGGGAGATTGATTGAAAAAAACGTTCCCTTAAGAGGTGTGAACTATGGAAGGATAAGTTGTAAATAATTCTTCGCGATCTGTAATGTTTATCAAGCAAGAGAAGTTTATAGGTAAACTGCAAGTCTACATCAAACAAAAGCTAAATATAAATAAAAGTATGACATAGCAACGCTAAATTAGCTCTTACTTAGAAAATATTTTATTAAGTTCTTTTATGACAAGTATTGACAAATAATTAAATAGATATTACAAAAATAAAAATAATACTAATAAAAATATGTATATCTCTTATAAAATTTGATAACTCCGCAACTGTTCAAACATAAAAATCTATAAAATCATTTCAATCAAATCTATGTATCTTCGAATTTCGTTAAAAAAACTCTCAGTTTATTGTTGCATGTAGAATATTTACAAACAATTGTTATTCTTCAGAGCTCTGCTTGTATAAAAGCTGTGTCAGCACACAGCTGCGCTGTTGCTGCTGACAAAATTGCCTGCCTTCTGCATGTCCCGCAGGCAGAATTTCACAGTCACCTGCTAGCAACTTGCACCTGATTTTTTTCAAGTAATTAGCCCGTGTTGAGAGAGAGGTGTTCAATTACATCTATTATAGTTATATGGAATTAAAATACATGGAACATTGTTAACAAATTCATTTGTTTATATTAGTCGTTAAGGTGTGTCAGAAAAAATATGATGCTGCAAAATACAGGAAAAAATTAAGGATTTTATTGATAATGCTGTAATCTAGAAGAACTTATCAATGAAAGTCTCCGAAAATTGTAACTTAATTAAGAAGCTTTATAATCTATATAGAATTCCGAAAAAAACAATTTTATTTCATTAACTGCAATACTTCTCAAAATTTTAGTTTTTTTTTTGTTTTTTGTTTCCTATGAAATGAATATAATGGTTTTTAAAAGGTTTCACTCAAATATTGGTTTCACTCAAAATTATAGAGCACCTTAGGTGTCAATATGATGTTTTAAGCTGCGTAGGTAATATCTATAACAATTATGTAAGCACTGACGTTCCTTTGATTTTAATTGAGAGGTCTTGACATGACATGACACCTAATTGGAGTAAAAACATTCAGAAAGCTGGAGAATGATTGAAAAGAATGTTCACTTTAAGAGGTGTGAACTCTCAAAGGATAAGTTGTAAATAATGCTGAATGATATAATAATAAAGACTAATAATGTCAGTATTTAACAAGAGGAGTTTATAGGTAAAAAGCAACGCTAAATTACCTCTTACTTCGAAAATACTTTATTAGATTCTTTTTTATAGGTATTATCAAATAATTAAATAGAAATAAAAAAACAATAATTTTGAAAAAATATAAATATCAAATAAAATTTTATATTTCCGTTACTGTTTAAAAATAAAATTTTTATAAAATCACATCAATTAAATCTACGTATCTTTGTTTTTGTATAAAAAAATAGCTCTCAGTTTATTGTTATATGTAGAATATTTACAAGCAATTGTTACTCTTCAGAGCTCTGCTTGTGTAGACGCTGTGTCAGCACACAGCTGCGCTGTTGCTGCTGACAAAATTGCCTGCCTTCTGCATATGTCCCGCAGGCACCTGCACGCAGAATTTCACAGTCACCTGCTAGCAACATGCACCTGCACGCAGAATTTCACAGTCACCTGCTTGCAACAAGCACCTGCACGCAGATTTTCATAGTCACCTGCTTGTAACAGCGCAGAATTTCACGGTGACTAGTTAGCAACATTAATTATTATGCAAAACATTAGACGAATTTTGGCAAGATGTCCTGAAACTATACACGAATGGTGTATTTTGTTTATGTTTAACCTTAATTTTTCGTCTCGAAAAATTAATATAAAATTTTTACTGTTGTGTACAAATGAAATTAACTTTAGGTAATATTTTAGAAAGTCAAACCTTCATATGATTAAAAAAAAGAAAGCAGTGAAAACATATATTAGGCCATACTTTTATAACGACGATGACATTTCAAATAAGTACTTATTCAAGATCTGACCGTATGCCGACAAGTTTTGAATAGACAAAACATACTCGGAGACGAATAATATTCAAACGCTGTGAATTTACCCCATATTCATGAGAGGAAAATTCTTCATTATGTTATAGAAAGAAAAAGCCTACTTATTTCAATCTAAAATGACAATTTCAGCACTCGGGTATCAGCCAGTAATGAATATACTTTTTCATTTCATTTACAGGCCACACCGTTGAAATTTGACGTTCAGAAAAGATGGTTGTCATCAAACTCGGCAGCTTGAGACGACAGCTCGGTAATGTTCAGCTCGAGGCGGGCGTTAAGGGGAGGGCCAAGCAAAGACGCGATAAAACTGCAACATGAATTCAAAAATCACGAATACAATGAAAAAAAAAATCGAGAAAAACGTATGAGTAAATTCATTGCAGCAAGGCGAAGATAGATCAGACTGAAACAATACACAAATAAAATATGAAAATATGATTAATATATGTAAAGTAACGATAGTTATATATGGTTTAAAAACAGAATCATTGAATTTTTTCTGATTTCCGCTCGAGACGAAGTCAAGAGCTGTAACACCCTGACCAAAAAGAAGAACCTGAACCGTACAATATCCACACAAATGTTTCATATTCCTTGCCAGCTTTATATCTTTGCATAAAGTCTACACTTAGCAATGCCCGTGACCACTCGGCGTACCACATTTCGTACACCTTTAAATATTTTCGAATTTCTTACCATCGAGAGGGAAGTCAGCGCGGAGCAATACGCTCGTCCGCCGCTTTCACTCCAGCACGAGGCTCTGGAATTACCCAGAGGCATTTTCATTTTCCTGCCGCTTTTCCTGAAGGCAAAAAGCGGAAAGAAAGTTTGCTGGTGTGGAGAGCTCCGAAGGTAGCGAGGGAGCGACTGTAAAACAGTTTTTGGGGCCACAAATCTATTGGAAAACTTTCTTTGTGTGTCTCGAAGAGAAGGTCCGAAGCAAAGACTATTAACTGTTGATCAAAAAAGGTCAAGAATTTAAACTGACCCAGGAAACTTTTTTGATAGTTCAAACGCATTGTTTACCTAACACAATAAGATCGACTGAACAAAGACTAGGAAACCTATTTCATTTTTACACTGACAGATTGATCCTACACACGTGAAAATTCTTCGCCCAATTTCAATCCTTTGATACGAATTAAAATGAGAGATCTTACGAACCGACAATACGAGCAGTTATTTAGAGCCAAATAATGGAATGAAGCCAATGTCGGAAAATTTCGAAATATAAAACCAAAATTCATAACCGACTTGAATCCATCTTTACGGAATTTCAACGAATTATAAAAATATATGAATGATTTTTAGCACATTTTCTCATATATGGAAAAAATGCACTATTGTGCTCGCCATGTCCGTCTGTCTGTCTGTCCGTCTCTCCGTCCGTCCGTGACCTCAAGTTTTCGTCGACGAGAAAATGTGCTGTCACTCACTGCAGTGAGTACTGAGTTATATTTTTTACACACTTTCGTGATTCGTCCACTAAAGGAATTTGTTGGCTCCTAAATTCACTATGTAGAAAACAATCGTCACGAAGCTTTTAGAATACTTGTTTATTGGACGGAACTGTATTTGTTGTGATTGGATTTACATAGAGAAGACTGTGCAATCATGAATAAAACCCATTATTCATCAGCAGAAATTGTGTCGCGAAGTTCACAACGGAAAATTACTGACCAATAGCTCCAATGTATATAAGCTATTATTCATTAACAGAAAAGGTGCTTCGAAGGTGATTGCGGAATTTATAAGGTCAAAAGCTCTATAACGGCATTTTATAATACCTATAACTTATTAGCAGAATAATTGTCTCAAAAACGAGCGCAGAAAATTTCAGTCCGCTCGGCAGCATCGGTCACCGATAAAACACGTCACCGTTTGACGGCTGCGGTCACAATTAAAACGGGTCACCGTTTAACGCAGTGGTCACCGTTCAAACGCGTCACCGTTTAACGCAGTGGTCACCGTTCAAACGCGTCACCGTTTAACGCAGTGGTCACCGTTTGACGGCAGCGGTCAACGTTTGACGGCAGCGGTCACCGTTTCACTGTAGCGGTACTTTGAAGGTCTGAATGGTCAGCCTGTGAACCAACACCGCAGCTGTGGCGCTGATGCTGGCAGTCTGGTAGCTATTGTAATTCATAGGCGTAAAAAGTGCACTGAGTGTGTAAGGAGGTGGAAGAGTACTGTACAATATATGTACATGTTCTGGCATTATAGTGATAATAACGATACCTCGTTGTCAAGTGAAGCAATGAATAAGTATGGCAGAGTACTGTACAATATGTGTACATGTAGTGTTTTACAGTTCACTTAATTGCAGTGTGGTTATTATGACTGTACATTGTCGTCAAATAATATCATGAGTGTGTGTGTCTAGTGATAGCAGTGTGCTGAATATATGGTGGTGATTAGGTGATTCATGGCGTAAAAGATGTGCCAAGATGATATGATGCCCATTTGTTGCGTCAGTTTTCTGCCAGATCGTCTGTATTTAAGTTTGAGTTGGGACTGTGTGATGACGATACAGATGAGTCCTCGTTTCCTTAAATAGGCAATAAGGCGCATAAAGTTTATTTTTTTACACACGATATGCATCCTGATTTTCTTCTGACGCAAACCTACGAGTCTGCAGCTTCAATGTCGAGCTCAATTATCGCCAGCCTAGACCGCACCACCTAAATACAAAAATAAAATTATAACAATCTAACAATTAGAAAACACTTAGGAGAGACGGAAATAGGGCCTTATGATATAATACAGTGAATAATAACTCTGGATTTGCCAGGAGACCACTGACGAGTCTTTATAAAAATAAATTTGCTTTTCGGTAACAATATCTCCCGGTGTGAGGAACGGGATTAAAAAGCTGGGCGGAAATAAAATTTAAGAATGGAAAGCGATGAGAAGGAAGTGAGTGAAGAATGCAACGCGGCAGTGAGAAGGAAGTAAGGGGAGCATGAGAGGCGGCAGTAAGAAGGAAGTAAGGGGAGCATGAGAGGCGGCAGTGAGAAGGAAGTAAGGGAGCATGAGAGGCGGCAGTGAGAAGGAAGTAAGGGAGCATGAGAGGCGGCAGTGAGAAGGAAGTAAGGGGAGCATGAGAGGCGGCAGTGAGAAGGAAGTAAAGGAGCATGAGAGGCGGCAGTGAGAAGGAAGTGAGGAGGGTAAGGTAGGAAGCAGAAAGAGGGCGCGAGGGGAAGCAGGCGGGAGGTCGTAGTATCGACCAGTAAGGCGTGGTCGAGGGAGCGTTGAAATGCTCCCCGGTGCCGCTCCCTCAGAAATACGGCGTTTCCCCTCTACAGAAAAGGAACGTGGGCCGAAGTGGGACAAGTCAAGGCCTCTATATGAAATAAGTTCTTTCAGAGGCATGGTTGGAGGCCGGTGGCTTTGAAGAACCATCCGCCTTAAGTCCATTTTTGCAGTAAGCTTTAACATACCTCGATGTGCAGATTTTGTTTAGCAAATTGGTTTCGTGGCGAAGGTGGATCTTCAAACTATTGGCATCAATGGACGGGGCGAGAAATAAACTGAAGCAATTAAAAACTAGTGCAAACTTTTAAATGGCTGAGCAATCTTATCGATGTTTTCAAGCAAAGCACTAGTCATTGATAATTGAATTGCGCTTAAGACTGCGATATTAACACATTTCGTTTCACAAATGTGAAAAGAACATTTCGATCCTAATAAATTAAGTCCTTTTAAATAAAGTGATAAGTGCGCACAAAGTAATACAATCACGTAAAAAAATTCACAGTCAAAATAATACGTGCATAAAAACTGTAACAAGTAACACACACACACACACACACACACAGAGAAAAAAACCTTCACAAGCCACGCACATTTTGTAAGAAAAATCTTCACAGGCCCCGGATAAATTTATTCATTTTCGGCAGGCCGCAATCACAATAGCTCGACGCAGCGACCCAGCAGGCAATGGAGGTTTCGAATATCAGAGCTCGGGCGACTGAATCTCTGTGTCGAATTTTGACATGGCTATAAAAGTTTCAATGTTGCTCAGATGTCTGAAATTACTACCTCAATATGTGAGCCTGAGTTCCTGGGTGGACTAATAAAATTGGGTAAAAGTTTTGCTTGAAAGCATGTTGTCATAGTAAAGTTTTGGAGAGAGACTGCACGCTTGAGCAACCACTTTTGAAAAAGAAACACATGTTTCCATGGCCAATAACTTTGGCTGGTCATTGCAGCCTAGCTACCGCTGCAATATATGCCGATAAATAACATGAATAAAATTCATGTATAAATCCAGATGAGCCTTTCCCGATGATGTAAATCGTCAGTACTACAACTGCCAGACACTTGTCACTTACTGTGACACACAAAACGGCCGCATCAGACTAACAAACACGAAGTTTATGACTACACGTGGTACAAATGCAATAAATTTACATGATATGCGGTTGCAAAGAGTAGAAACGATGCGCGTCAGTCACAGGATTATTGTGGGCATTTCATCGGACCAGTGAGCGACATGTTCATTGCAGATCGCTACGCAAAATCCAACTTGATATTCAAAATCCAACGAAGAAATAAAAAATCTGAGAAGTTCCAAGCAAACGCCAATCTTAGGACAGGTTATTTTCATAGAATGAAAAGTCATAAAATGCAACCAGTTAATAAAATTAAACACTTTTTCAAACTTTAGGTGACTGTAACAAAACTAAAAATATTGTATAAAACAATATTAGATCGCTGCATGAATTTAAAAGCCTTTCGAAGGAACATCGAAGGCCCTAGCTTTTACTTGAAGGTTTTTAATTAGGGATTTGTTATATCTAGGCGTTTTCTTACCAACTGATTTCGCTAGACTGTGTTCAACTTGAAAAATAATTTTAGTACAAAGCTGCATGATTGTAATCCCACCAGCAACTCTGAACTTGGCCACGAAATTCACTATATACATAATCTGTACTAGATAATGTAAGTAGATATAAATTTTGAAATTATAATTACCTGGAATACAGTTTTGTTGACGTCAACGTAATTTTAGCACACATGCGTTTTGGTCAAGGCGCGAAGCTTGGTGTCAGTGATGTTTATCATTACCAAATCTACACTTCAAAAGATGACATCGCACATGACCAAGCCTAGCTTTGACCAGCGAGCTTTTGAACAAAACAAGAGCCTTCATTCTGGTCACGCAGATCAAAGAAATTGCAGCCCTCGCAGGTGGTCGAAAGGTTAAATTGCACCCCGAATTGGGGTCGTCGTTTCAAGACTGGGACTGTTTTGCGACGAAAACCCATACATAAATTTGAGACGACGAGCCTTCCATCTCACTGAGATCAAATCAGTAGATGCGTGAAGAGAGCTGAATTTTTTCAAGAAAATAATATATGGAAGAGGAGTGATTAATAGGACGATCGTGGTAGAAAAATAATTTGGCGGGATAGTTTTTTGAGATTTTATTTGATCGTTTCCCAACATTTGTTTGAATAAATTCTTATAAAATGAGGAGTTTGAAAATTGACGTATACTCAGTATTTTTCTTGTATAGTAGAGTGTTAACAACCTCGGTTGCTCCAAAAAAGAACATTTTAGAACATTTTCATTCACCATTCGCCAGCATTTGGCGCATGAAACGTGAGAATTTTGCCTTCCAAGTCCCAACTCGAGTTTCTTGCCTTCGACCGTCAACATCAAGTTCAACAATGGCTTCTGGTGATCGAAAAATTGGCCAATACTTGAGTCTGAGCTTCAGTGAAGCAAACTCTGGAATTGTAGGTGCCAGGCCTAAAAGGAGGAAGCCTAATACGGGCCTAAGCATAAATCACAGTCGTGCATCAGCGAGCTTTTCAGCTGCTACCGGACTCCCTGTAAATTGAGTGCCTAGTAGTTATGGGCGCTGAATATTTTCCTGCCCAGGAATAAGACCTTCCGTTCCCATCAATATTCCCTTCCTGTAAAGAAACCTCGATAATTTAAAAAGAAGATTTGTGACTGTGTAAGAACGATTTTTAGGCAATGACGGCAATTTTAAGGCCGTTTTCGAAACTTGCCTGGATTACCAATAGTGCTTCTTTTTGTTAAATAACTCGGTTTCCAGTACAGCTTCTGCTATATTATCGATTTTCTCCGTTAAGCAAGCGTCAGTCAGCTTAATTCAATTTTGTGTCAAATTTTTGTATTTGTTGGACCGATGACTTCATCTATTGGCTCCCTGTTATTCATATTACAATTATTTTATTCACTGGAATATTTTCATCGTTGGAAGCGTCAAAACGTCTTGTATATAACAGACTTGACCGAGTTTCCCTGTTCAAATGAAGGAGCGGAGTGAGTGCATCAGTTAATTTGCTCGCATCTTGTTTGGTTTCGCTGGCAATTGACAGGAGCGAGGCTAATCTGCGTGACATATCTTGTTGACAGCACAATTAGGACGCGTCTTGCAGCAGCGGCAGGAACAGCAGCTGTAGCAGCAGCAGCTGTAACAGCAATAACAACAGATGTAGCAGCAGCAGCATTAACAACAGGAACAACAGCTGTAGCAGCAGCAGCAGCATTAACAGCAGGAACAACAGCTGTAGCAGCAGCAGCATTAACAACAGGAACAACAGCTGTAGCAGCAGCAGCATTACCAACAGGAACAACAGCTGTAGCAGCAGCAGCATTACCAACAGGAACAACAGCTGTAGCAGCAGCAGCATTACCAACAGGAACAACAGCTGTAGCAGCAGCAGCATTAACAGCAGTAACAACAGCTGTAGCAGCAGCATTAACAGCAGTAACAACAGCTGTGGCAGCAGCATTAACAGCAGTAACAACAGCTGTGGCAGCAGCATTAACAGCAGTAACAACAGCTGTGGCAGCAGCATTAACAGCAGGGACAACAGCTGTAGCAACAGCCGAAATAACAGCTTTATCAGCAGTAACAATTAACAGCTGTAGCATCAGTAAAAACACCTGTAACAGCAGTAACAACAGCTGTAGCAACAGCCGAAATGACAGCTTTATCAGTAGTAACAATTAACAGCTGTAGCATCAGTAAAAACACCTGTAATAGCAGTAACAACAGCTGTAGCAGCAGGAAAAACAGCTGCAGCAGCATTAACAGCTGTAACAAAAGAAGTAGCAGTAGTAACAACAGATGTAGCAGCAGTAACAACAGCTGTAGCAGCTATCACAGCAGAAGCACTAGCAGATCACGCAATATTGTAGCAACAATATATATCAGAAACAGAAATCAAAGCTTCTGCCGCCATAATTGCTACTTAAATTCTGCAAGCCGATGCTAATTCGTGACAGGTACTGCAACGCAATCCGTCAACATAACTGTTGATCATGCCAAGCAAGTAAATTTTATAATTTGTTATGAGTTTATCAAATAAATTGTATTTTTATTTTATAAAGACTAAATATAAGTCCACCACCATAACTAGCAAATTATACTCACTGTTCCCAGTTCAATTTTAATGTCGCCAGGCTGGTAGAGTCTGGAGCTCGACTCGCTGATCCCGGACGTCCCGTACAAATCCGGCCAAAAGTCTAGGCTGTCCGCAAAGATCGTGTGGATTCCGCCAGAAGCCCAAAGTTTTTTCCTCAAGTCCTCGGATGCGTGCACTACATTCTTGAGCAGAATGTCGATTTCAGAACGTACGTTTTAAGTGTCTAGTTATTATATTATGAATTTTACGATTTTAGCACAATAAGTGTCTCTTTACGTTAGATATATGGGAAAGATTATGACACTAATTTCACTTGACTTCATTTCTTATGAGAACATTGTTAGGGTAGTGAGCCCACAGCCTAAAAATTTATTTAGGGCGCCTCAAAGAAAGTGGTTCTTAATGCTAGTTCTTCAAAAATCGTAATAATAAACTCATCAGCTCATCTGTTGGCAGCTTTATTAGCAGTGTCAAAATTCAATACAGGTGAATACTTAAATAATTTGTTTGTTTAAACTGAGAAATAACGTAGAATTGAAAACAAAGTAAATGCACTAATTCTGCAAAATTTTCATCTCATCTCAACTGAGTGACTTTAGTCGTCCGTTCGATGTAGGTATGTTTGTACCAACGGGATCTACAAAATTCGTGTTAATTTCCCAAACTTTTCCCACTTTAGTTCTCTCATTCCCCGTTTTTCTTCACTCGAGCCCATAATATTTGGTATCTCTGGCAGCCGTAAGATTTAATCTTGCCAGAGAGCCATCCGTCTCTGCTGAGGCAATATCGCCACAGGGCTCTCGACTCTCGACTCGAGCTAACATCGATAAGCTCGTCCGATTGGCATTACCGTATACCGATACTGAGCCATCGGCCTGATTATAGCGTCTAGTGTCTGACCAACGCACAGCTTTTTCGTCGAGTTGTCGGAAGATATGAAGATTGCTTAGTTTATACGTTATTAGATACTAGATTACTTAGTTATTAGTTAGAAGGCTACTCTGCTGGGTAGCCTTCTTACGTCAATTAAGGGGTGATCGCTCGAAATAATGTTGCACTCGCGTTAGCAAATAAATTTCAATTTCTGTTTGAGGTGTTGAACCTAATTCGAATTAGAGGAATCCCGTAGCTACTCTTCTGCATTGTTGGTTTTCAATCGTTGCCTAATGAAAATCAATTGCTTTTCTAGGTTCTTACCACCTTGCTTGTCTGTACGAGAAAGTGTACTTGCACATAACATAGTAGTACTTTCTATTTAAAGACTTATATTTTACGCACGCTACTCTGATGATAGCGAGTCAACGGGAAGAACGAAATCTTTTTTTTTTCTAACATGAGTTTATAAATGCTTTATTTCAAGATATTCATTCAGAAGTATCAGCAAAGTACATCAACTCAATTATAAAGCGTTTAGGATATACTAAGCGACAACTGTTTAAATAAGACTATTTGTATTTATATATCACACAATAATAGGTTATAAGTATATTTATCACGTCACACAGGCGCTGTATAAAACTGTCCGCACAAACAGTCGTTACGTCACGCAGGCGCTGTGTAAAACACTCCACACAAATAGTCGCTACGTCACACAGGCGCTGTGTAAAACAGTTCACACAAACAGTCACCGGCGGACCAAAGTTCGACCGTTAAATTGCGGTCACATTTTTGCCAGAAATTTGGCCATTAAGTTTTTAGCGGCGCGGCCAAAGTTCGAGGAAAATATGCAGCGGCGATAATGCGAGCCCTCACTGCTCACTGCCTCTGCTCACTGCCTCTGCTCACTGCCTCTGCTCACTGCCTCTGCTCACTGCCTCTGCTCACTGCCTCTGCTCACTGCCTCTGCTCACTGCCTCTGCTCACTGCCTCTGCTCCTGTCTCTTATACACATCTAGATGTGTATAAGAGACAGAGTCTAGGCTGTCCGCAAAGATCGTGTGGATTCCGCCAGAAGCCCAAAGTTTTTTCCTCAAGTCCTCGGATGCGTGCACTACATTCTTGAGCAGAATGTCGATTTCAGAACGTACGTTTTAAGTGTCTAGTTATTATATTATGAATTTTACGATTTTAGCACAATAAGTGTCTCTTTACGTTAGATATATGGGAAAGATTATGACACTAATTTCACTTGACTTCATTTCTTATGAGAACATTGTTAGGGTAGTGAGCCCACAGCAACATGAACGCCTGATAATTTACTTTAGAGCGCCACAAGGAAAACGGTTCTTAACCCTCTACCGCCGTATGTCACTCTCCGGGAACATTAATCTCTCTTAAATTAAAATTTAACTCTCTCTTAAACTCTCTCTTAAACTAAGATTATACGTAAACTATTGAGTGTAGCAACCTGAGGAAGCTTGTACGCAACAAAGAACATTTTAAAATTTTCGGACGTGGCGGCAACCATCAGTGCAAGTCATATTGCGCTCACTAGCAACGTACCTATCCTTTTTGGGTAGGCTTGTGTGAAAATATTGCTCCTGTTACTCATGTCAGGCGGTAGAGGGTTAATGCTAGTACTTGAACACTCGTAATAATAAACTCTTCAGCTCATCTGTTGGTAGCTTTATTAGCAGTGTAAAATTCAATGCAGGTGAATGCTTAAATAATTTATTTATTTAAATCGCGAAATAACGTCGAATTGGAAAACAAAGAAAATGCACAAATTCCGCAAAATTTTCATTCCATCTCAACTGAGTAACTTTAGTCGTCCGTTCGATGTAGGCATGTTTGTACCAACGGGATCTACAAAATTCGTGTTAATTTCCCAAACTTTTCCCACTTTAGTTCTCTCATTCCCCGTTTTTCTTCACTCGAGCCCATAATATTTGGTATCTCTGGCAGCCGTAAGATTTAATCTTGCCAGAGAGCCATCCGTCTCTGCTGAGGCAATATCGCCACAGGGCTCTCGACTCTCGACTCGAGCTAACATCGATAAGCTCGTCCGATTGGCATTACCGTATACCTGTCTCTTATACACATCTAGATGTGTATAAGAGACAGGTCTCTGCTCACTGCCTCTGCTCACTGCCTCTGCTCACTGCCTCTGCTCACTGCCTCTGCTCACTGCCTCTGCTCACTGCCTCTGCTAATTGCCTCTGCTCACTGCCTCTGCTCACTGCCTCTGTTCACTGCCTCTGTTCACTGCCTCTGTTCACTGCCTCTGCTCACTGTCTCTGCTCACTGTCTCTGCTCACTGCCTCTGCTCACTGCCTCTGCTCACTGCCTCTGCTAATTGCCTCTGCTCACTGCCTCTCGTAATATCTATTAAAGCATATGCCACAGCATGCAATTCTGCTGTCAATAATCACTTCTTCAACACGCGATTAAATTCCGGCCATCCATTCTCCGTGTCAATATAATCACAAGACATGAGTTAGACATTATCAATGGGTCAAAACTCCAGGTTTTCCCCCTATTATTGTCATAGCAAAGAAGCAGCGGTAGGAACAGCCGCGTGTTTCCCACTAACTTGCCACCATTGCACTAACTTGTCACATTTTCTCAAAAAAGACGCTAACTGGCAGAAGTTAGCGGGATATTCCGCTACCTCAAGTGGCCCGACGTGTCTTGCAATATTGCGAATGATTTTATTTATGTAACCTCTATGAAGATTCATATTCTGAATAATATTTTTTATTCCAGACGTACAGTTATCTTTATTTCACGAAATGATTCCACTGTTACCAAGCTTTTTTTATCGCTTGCAATACATTTCTATTGCTTAATATCAGGCATTAGTTTACTATCATCGAATTGCGATTATAACCCTAGGTCATTAGAGGGTTGAGGTGCTGCCTCAATGAAGGTTGTTTGATTATTATTCACTCTGTAACTACGCGCATATCACTTTGACTGCTTTTAATATACTTCAAAATTATTCAGGTCAACTTCGTAATACGGATAAATTTCAGGAAAAAATCAATGAATGATAACTTTTTTTAAGGGGTAAATCAATTATGGCCATTTTGGCTAATTAAGCAGTTCCGGCGGACATTGCCGTTAAATTAAGGGTGATTCAAAGTTAATAAAACATTATAAATTTTGAAAACCGGCTTCATCTTCATTCACCATCTGTGCTTTTTAATAAAACTCAAATTTGAAACGTATCTGATTCTCACTAACCCCCTTACCTCACTCCACCACCCCCCCTTGTCTCGGCTCACTCATCCCCCCTCTTTATTGTGATAGTGTCCCCTTCACTCCCCTCTTTAAGAGCTTCTTAAAAGGGGAGCTTCGCTTGCCACTCATGAGCGCAAAAATGAGCCGCTGCTTCACAGGCGGCCGACGCTGGTGCACTCATCGGGCGGCGGTGATTAGGCTGTGATTTTCAATAGGGATTTTTAAATTTCTCCAGGCACCAATAAAACTGTAGCCTCCTTCAAAACTGTAGCCTCGCCAAAACTGTAGCCTCGCCAAAACTGTAGCCTCCTGCAAAACTGTAGCCTCCTGCAAAACTGTAAGCGTAAAACTGTCGAGCCTGTCTTGCGCTGTCGGCTGCAATCACGACACGCGCGTTGACGGGTTCTTTGTAAGGGGCGCTCTTTTAATGGCTCTCTTGTAGAGCTCTCCTGTGCCGGCTCTCTTGTATCATTTCTATGGTAACGTTTTTTATAACGGCTTATTTATATTTAACGGCTTTTTTGTGAAATCGGTCTTTGAATGGTTCCCTTGTAAAGGTTTTTTTGTAAAAGCTCTCTAGCAACAGCGCTTTTGCAACGGCTCTCTTGCAACGGCTCTTGCAACGGCTCTTATGCAATGGCTCTCTTGAAACGGCTCTCTTGCAAATGCTCTCATGCAACAGCTCTCCTGCAATGGCCATCTTGAAACGACACTTATGCAACGGTTCTTTTTTAAAAGAGCTTTTAAAACGGCTCGCTTGTAATAGCGCTCTAAGAACGGCTCTCTTGTAGTGGCTCTCGTGTAGCTGCTCCCATGTTACTTTATTTCATCTCGTACTTACACTCTAACAAAAGTTTTATTGTACAGACTCTCTTTTCGTGGCCCTCTAGTAGAGTGCGATTGTAGTTATTCTCTTTTCATGGCCCTCTAGTAGAGTGCGATTGTAGTTACTCTCTTTTCATGGCTCTCTAGTAAAGTGCTTTTGTTCCGGCTCTTTTGTAAAGCTTCCATGCGACCGCTCACTAATAGCAGCTCTCAATTAGTAAAGGCTCTCAATAGCCACTCTCTATTAAGGGCTATCAACCAGTTGCACTCTTATTTCCTGTAATAATTCTTACACAGCGGTTCAGCGCAACTACAATTTTTAGCTATTTCAATGTTTCTATTGATTGCCATAATTATTATATGGTTTATTAAAATATATTATATAATAAAAATCTACAATATAAAATTATCGATATTAATTATTATTATATTAACAATTCTTAATTAGTCTGCGGATTTGCATGGATTTCGTCTGCAGGTTTTCATTTATCCATGATGGAAATGGAAATCTTAAGTTATGTCTGGAGTATGATGGCAAACCAGTACGCACGGATCATGGAATTGAAAAATTCTACGGAATTTGAAGCCAGTATTTAGGTTAATCATTCCAGAATAACCTATAGTAACGTCCAGAATATAATTGTGATTAAATTTATTCCGATGTGCCTTTCCCAAAATGACGCTATACAAAATTCCGAAAAATAATGATGCTTTGATTCGAAAACTATTTAGAATATATTTAATTGTCATGCCCTATTTTGCTTTATTGTAACGGTTGGCTTTATTTACGTGAGTCAAAAAATCAAAGAATAGAAAATTTTCCTCACAAATACATATATATCTGAAAACAGTGCTTTGCGTTAAAAATTAATTATCA